GGGGGGGCTGCACCCTGGACCCCCCCAGGCGCTCACAGTCTCCTCTCCACGGGCTGTTGCAGGCACATCTCACTGCCAGCAGAGATGATGGGCAGGTGATTGTCCATGTGGTAGCTGATGAGGTGGCTGACACTCTCGAAGCGATGGTCTTTCGTCCTCACCTGGGGGTGGCAAAAAAAGGCTGCTCAGAATGCCCATGGATGGGCCAAAGCCATGCCATGGGCTAGGCACAAGCTGCAGTCTCAACCCCATGCTCTACCAGACCCTGCAGACTCACCAACCCACGCTGGCCCCACCACCCCATCTATGGTCCCATAACCCCCTCTGTGTCCCCCAAACCAGCCCAGAGCTGTCTGCTGATAAGTGGTGGAACAGCACTGCCCTCCCTGGTGGCTCCTGTGACTCCCCCAAGCTGTGCCAACCTCCATCCCCAGGCCATGCCGTGGACTCACCACTCCCTCGGGGTCGACGAGCAGCAGGTGCTTGGGCTGCCCTCCCTGCAGGCCTGTCAGCACGTACTGGCCCGGGGTGGTGGTGCTCTCCCTCACCAGGAAATCTCCATTGACCTTCAGTAGCTTCTCAGCCTCCTTCCGGCTCATCTTGCCATGGTACCAGTGCTCTCGGCGCAGCTGCTCCTCCATGGAGGCCACGACCTGCGCTGGGGGCAGCGCCCCAGGCACGGCCGGGGGCACGCGCAGCGCGTCCTCGAAGGGCTCTGCAGGGACAGAGAGTGCCAGACTGTGTTAAGCACCATCCTGTCCAGCAGCATCCCTGAGGTTCTGTCACTGAGCTCAGCCCCAGAGTGGCTGATCCTCACTGCCTATGGGTTAATAGATGTTTCACCTGTTGGTAAATGGACAGACACTGCCACTATCCCCAAATCCATGCTGGTGTGCCTGCCCCTCTCTCCTGCTGAGAGGTGGCTAAAAACGCCCCTAAATCTGTCAAAGTGCACGTGATTGGTGTGCCTGCCCCTCTCTCCTGCTGACAGGTGGCTAAAAATGCCCCTAACTCTGTCAAAGTGCATGTGACCTGCACCTCTCCATCCATCCAGTTCCTAACCAAGTCCCTCTGTAGCTTCCCTGGAGCCTCTTCAGCTCCTGCAGGCTGCTCTGAGGTCTCCACACAACCTTCTCTTCTCCAGGCTGAACAGCCCCAACTCTCTCCTAGGGAAGCTGCTCCAACCCTCTGATGAGCTTCGTGGCCTCATCTGGACTTGCCGCAACAGTTCCATGTCCTTCTGATGTTGGGGGCACCAGAACTGTGTGCAGCACTCCAGGTGTAGCCTCACCAGAGCAGAGTAGTGGGGGAGAGAGTGACAGGACCATGACCATCCCACAGCCACCCACCCCTGCCCAGCTGTGGGCACTGTGCCACTCACTCATGTCGAAGAGGTCCCTCTGGGCACTGCCATTGGCCGTTGCAGAGGTGCTGGTGGCTGATGCCTGACGTGCCTTGTCCATGTTCTGCACGTTGACGTACGATGGGTCATCGAACAGGTCGGTGCGGCCAGAGGGGCCTGTGGGAGCTGAGTACTTCTCCCTCCCTGCTGCCAAGAGCACTGTGGTCAGCAGGGTTCCAGCCCACCTCAGCCCCCTGCCAGTGCCCACCACCAGAGCACTGGGGGGCCAGGAAAGCACACAGGGACTGGCCGTGGCCATCACGTTACCTTGGGCAGGAGTGTGCTGCTTCTGGGGGTCGCAGTCCCCACTGGACTGGCCAACAGGCTGCAGGGAGAAGCAGTGGTGAGTCTCCAGCCCCTTCCTGCTGCCCTTTTCCCACACCCCACACTGCTGGAGGTGCTGGGAGACACATTCCATGGCTCTTGTGGTGGAATAACCCCAAGCAGAGCCTGATGCAGGTTGCTGCATCATCCCTTGAAAGATGCAGGCTCCCCCCAGGAGGTGCACAGAGCCTCACCAATGTGGCCCCCAAGTGGTTGGGGGTTTGGGCAGCTCCATCCCGCAGCCTCATGTCCACGACCCCCCCGAGGGGAGGCTCCTTGCCAGGGAAGTCGTTGTAGTACTGGTGATCTGGGGCTGGTTCCTCCTCTTCCTCATCCCAGGCAGAGCCATCAAACCCTGCCATCCTGGGAGGGCACAGCACAGGTGAGCCCTGACAGCAGCCAGGGCTCCAACCACTCTCCAAAATCACAGTCATAGAATCAACCAGGTTGGAAAAGACCTTCAAGATCATCGAGTCCAACCCTACCGAGGTTACTAGACCATGGCACTAAGTGCCACATCCAGTCTCATCTTGAAAACCTCCAGGGATGGTGACTCCACCACCTCCCTCGGCAGCACATTCCAATGTCTGGTCACTCTCTCCATAAAAAATCTCTTCCTAATATCTAACCTAACCCTCCCCTGGCACAGCTTGAGTCTGTGCCCTCTTGTCCTCCTGCTGTTGCCTGGGAGAAGAGACCAACCCCCACTTGACTACAACCTCCTTTCAGGGAGTTGTAGAGGGTGATAAAGTCTCCCCTGAGCCTCCTCTTCCCCAGGTTAAACACCCCCAGCTCCCTCAGCCTCTCCTCATAGCACTTGTGTGCTATGGACAAGAGAAGAAATGCATCTCAGCCTCCCTCCCACGCCCCTGCCCTCACCTGTCGTGGGGGGTCACCAGCTTTGGGGGGTTCTTCAGGTACTGCTTGAAGCGCAGCTCGAAGGCCTGTCCAATGGTGCTGATCACATCCTGGGCCAGGCCCTCAGGACACTCCAGGATATGGCAGGCTGAGGGGAAAATGGTGGGATGGCACTGTGGAAGTCCAGCACTGAGCTTTCTTCACCCCAGAGCTTCCCAATAGGTCACCCAGTGCCTCCCCCACACTGAGCTGGGTCTGAGCACCCCCAAACTGGCACTAAGGAACCCCAGAACCCTCACCTCTCTGATTGACAGGGTCTTTGGCAACATAGGCAACGTATTCAGCTGTGTCCTGCGGGTGAGACAGAAGGGTGAGACAGGGCCCAAGGCCTTAGGAGAGGGCAGGAGGCTCCAGTCCCTGCACAGGGCAGGGTGAGGACACTGTGTACTCACCGGGTCTCCCCCAGATGCGAAGGATATGGACTGCATGTGATGGTTGGCAATGATCTGCAAGACAGAAAAGCTCGTTAGGCACAGCCAGGAGCTCCCTGGCACCTCCCACTCCTCACAAGCCTCCACAACTCTGGTGATAAGCCACAGGCCATCAGAAAAAGGACTAGGATACTCTCAAGGCCACTGGAGTGAAAACCAGGAGATGTGGCCCCAGGCCAGGGGATTTGGGTTTCACAGACCCCAGGAGAGATCCTGAAAGCATGTGGGATATTCCTCCAAAGACTGCAGGGAGGAGGGCACTGGGCAGGTCACACAGCCCATGCAGACACTCCTCTGCCCCAACCAGACCTGGGCTGGGGGACACCACGATTCCTGCTTGCCCAAAGCCCCTCTCTGCTCTCACCTGCTTGCAGTCTGAGGCCATGAGGTTGAGGCTGCTGGTGGAGATGGTCAGGGTAATAGGCATCCCAGCAAACTTCAGGTTGCTCTTGCCCAGGATGGAGTTCAGGGAGCGACCACAAGGCTGTGGGCAAAAAGTAGTGTGGGGAAGGGCTCTCCAGGCCAGGGGCAGGACAGAGCTCATCCACTGCCTCAACAGCAGAGATGGGCACCTTGTCCCCACCACCAGCCCTGGCCTGAGCTGCAGTGGGAGAGCAGAGCCCCAAGCTGACCCACAGGGCACAACCAGTTGGGCTGGAATCTGCTCCTTGCCCTGTGCCCACACAGCCATGCACACTGCCCTGGCCTCACCTTCCTCCTCCTCACAGCTCCCTTGGCACCAGGCACAGCCTCACACACCAGCCCAATAGCCTCCCTGCAAGAAGAACAGCCAGATGTCAGTCCCTACAGTACATGACCCCTGCCAAGACCCTCCCAACCTCTCAGTACCTATGGCACTGGGGACATGGGGAGGGACAGGGTGACAAAATGGAAGTGGGCTCAGACCCCTCTCACCTGTCCCCAAAGCAGCAGTCCCTGGGGACAGGCAGAACTCACCTGGTGACCTGTGTCCTGGTGTTGAAATCCAGGGCCCTCATGGACTGAAGCACTTCCACACAGCCCATGTACTGGGGGAGAGAGCAAAGTCAGCTTGGCCAGCCCTGGGGTTCATCCCCATACAGGCAGAGAGGGACCATGAGGGCCCTTCCCTCACCCCACAGTGGTCACCTCCCTGTGAACCCCACTCACCCCACACACAGAGCATGCCAGGAGGCTCCCAAATCCCCTTCCCACTCTGCCCCAGAACTCACCCTGACATGGTAGGAGACCCCAGGGCCCATGACCTTGTCATCGGGGTGCAGCCAGCCACGGGTGGGTTTGTTGACGAAGCTGCCGTGGCGAGTCCACTCGTCCCCCCCGAGCTGACCACCTTCCACCCGGGTCTTCTTCCCACAGCTCAGCTTGTTCATATCCTGGGGACACACAGTGACAGGTCCTGCTGAGCCAGGGCTGGCAGCGCTCTCGGGGGCAGGGGGTTCCCCTGGGCTGCTCCCTGCTGAGGAGCCCCTCAGGCTGAGCAGGTTGGCAGGATTGGAGAGCTTCAGGTTGGCCATTCTGGGGAAGAAGGAGCAGAGGGTGGTGGGGCTGTCCTCAGACTCGGGTGAGAGCTCCCCAAGGGGCACAGCTGGGCCAAGGGAGGAGGAGGAGGACTGGGAACCAAGCAGAGACCGCGTGAGCGACGCCACCGGGGAGGATGGGACCCCCACGGCCTCCTCCAAAGAGGAGACAGACTCATTCCTCAGGTGGCTGTATTTGCTCTTTTGCAGGAGATCCATGCCGGAGAGAGCTGCGAAGGGCCAGGACC